AGAAACCTATGGAGCGAATAACTTTGTTATCATCCTATTTTACTAACGAGAAAACCAAGGCCTCACTGTGTGGCCCCGGCTATGTTTCTGTCCCTCCAGACACAAAGGGAGGAGCAAGGCCCTGCAGAGAGAAGGCTGAGTGGCACCAAGGTGCTCCAGGCCTTGCCTGGACCAAGACAGTCCCCACTGTGACTCTACTGTTCTCCCAGGAGGGCCAGACACTGCCCTCTCCACAAAGAAGATGCCCTCATCCCCTCCACCCTTCACAAGACTCTCAGCCAATACTTACCAAACATCTACTGTGCCCCCACACTGTCACACACCAGGGAGAGACAGTGACCAAACTGGACATGGTCCCTGCTTTTATGGGGATTACAGACCAATCCCGGAGACAGACAAAAGTTATTGCACAATTAATAACTACCATCTGTCGCCAAGAGCATCTCAGCCAACCACCCTCTCCTCCAGGCCCCCCCCCAGCCCCTCCACCAGCAGTCAGAGGCCCAGGGACTGGCCCAATGGAGGTCTCTGGAATCCTGATCCAGCACATGGCCCACACGCAAGCTCCCATTTGGAGCCGGGGCCATCTCAGTTTAGTAATCCGAATGTCCTAAGAGAAGATGGGGGCTCACCTAGTGTGGGGTCAGGAATAAAGTATCATTGGAGCTGAAACCTGTCCCTGGAAACCTGCTTACACAAGCTCCAGGGAATGGTGATAAGAAATGGGAAATATAGAGGTCCCCTCTCTGCCTCCCTCCCTTTGGATTGAGACTTCCTGACACTCCTAGGAGCCCCAGATAGGAGCTCGGCAGTGCTCATACCTRGTCCCCCTCCTCCCCAACCTGTCCTAGGTTCTCCTCCCTTTTTGCTCGGCACTAGCTTCGTGGGACAGACATCTCACATATTCCCATGGCTTCAGTTTTCAGTCACCACCCCTCTGCCTGCTCTGGAGTTCTTCTCCAGCCAGCAAATTCCTCCTGCTGGCCCCCAAGTTGCCTGGTTCTCCCTCTGTCACTGACTGGCTGCTTTTCCAAGCCCTCCTCTGCGACCTCAAACACTTTGAGTCCACAGGGTCTGGCCCTTCCTGGACTCTGCTTCTCCATTCACTCATGCAAGTCCTCTCTGACCTCTGGATCTCATGTCAAGCTTTTCTTGCCTTGGACCTTGGTGTCCCATCTTTGCCAGATTCCCCTGCTCCTTGGCTATTGTTTCCCGGGATCTTATCCTAGTTCTCCTCCTTCTTCTCTCCTCTAGCTCTTGGGACAGATATCTCACATACCCAGTGACTTCAACGACCAGTTTCCAAGTCTGTATTCCAGCTCAGACCGCTCTCTGGACTCTCCTCTTGGGTGTCCCCTGAGTCCCACAACAGCATGGACATCCTGATCTTCCTATCTTCTGCAGTGGTTCCTGTCACTTCCCCTGATTACATCATCTAAACGGGAGCCCAACATCACTCAAATCTGTTCCTTCTTCTTCCCCATCGAATCCAGCCCTTATTCCTTGTCTAGTGTAACAATCTCCTGTTTTGCCCACCCAACTCTAATGCATGATKCAGTGGTTACCCTCATGAATTCAGATGTCAGCCTTTTGGATTAGGATTGCATTTCTGCTACTTACTAACTGTGTGATCTTGGGTAAGATACTTAACCTCTCTGAGTCTCAATAAAATGGAATAATAATAGAAATTTATCTTATAGGGCTGTTATGAGGTTTAAATGAGTTAATATGTGTCAAAGTACTCAGTRCAGAGTTTAGCACATGTTAAATGCAATAAAATTTTTATTATTATTATTAATTTATTTTACAGATAGTTTGGAAGGTTTCTTATGTGCTAGGCACTTTGCTGAGCACTACRGGACATGATACTAAATAACAAAAAATTATTGGACCCCCCCACAAGAACTTCACAGTCAAAGTGGAATTCTTTATGAAAAGGCCCCTCCGAATGACCGTTTTCTGCCCCTKGATCCATGTTCTACTCCCTCCCATCTTAAAACAAAGCAAAAGCAAAACAACCCCTGGACTTCACATTTCCCTCTGGCCTTTCTTCCAATCTCAAACTGGTGTTCCACCAGCAAGTATTCACTGCACACATACTGCCTACCCTATACAGTTCTAGATGCCAGACACAAGACACAAATATCTATCTTCAATTAATTCACCTTCTTGTGGGGGACATGAACAGCAACAAACACAGCCACATGCGTGTCACTAGATGCTGTAAAGGAAGATAAAGTGCTGCGGGAGGCAGGGCTGACAGGATCAGTGGCTATTTTAGTTAGATAGGGTGGGCAGACTAGTCCTCTCTGAGCATGTGACATTTGAGCAAAGACCTCAGTGAAGAGAGGTAAACTGAGAAGACGTGGGGAAGAGCAGTTCAGGGCAGAAGGCACRCCCTGAGGCAATGCAAAGCCCTGAGGGCAGAACAAGCAGGGGAAGAATCKCTGGAAGGCTCTAGTAGCTGCAGAGGCGGGGCAGAGGTGCTTGGGGATGAAGCTGGACAGTCAGAGACGAAGCTTTCAGTGGCCATACTTCTTCATTTTTTAAATTTTTTTTTAGTTGTACATGGACACAATATCTTTACTTTGTTTATTTTTATATGATACTGATGATCAAACCTAGTGCCTCATGCATTCGAGGCAAGTGCTCTACCACTGAGCTACCATCCCAGCCCAGTGGCCCTGGCTTGGTACTAGATCAGATAGCCTAATGTCTAAGAGCTCTATAAGAGCCAAATATGGTGGCACATGCCTGTAATCCAAGTTACTGGGAGGCTTCAGGCAGGAGGATTGCAAGTTTAAGGCCAGCCTGGGTAACTTAATAAAACCCTATCTCAAAATAAAATATAAAGGACTAGGAATGTTTCCCAGTGATAGAGTGCCCCCACGGTTATTTAATAAAGCCTGGGAATTTGTCTCTGGAACCAAACTGCTTTGTTGAATTTCAGCCCTTTCACTTACTACCTGTTCCTGTTGACCTTAGACCCGATTACTCCACCCTTCTCTGCCTGTTTCTCATCTGTAAAGAGGGGACAATAATAATAGTACTATTTTGTAGGTYGTCAAGGATTAAAAGTGTAACTACTTACAAAACACTTAGAACCTTTTYTGGTATTATAATAAATGCTCACCAAATATTATCATTTAGACTCCTCTGTCTCCATCCACACTTCCTCGGAAATTTCACCTGCTCCTAGCTTTAATACCATCTATTATCTAATGACTTCCATATTTAAGTATTTGGCTTAAACTCCTTCTCTGGACTCCAGAACCCCTGTTTAACTGTGCACTATATTTTGATAACCTGGGATAGTTCGTGTGAAGAACGCTTGACCTTCCCCTTCCCCTGCGAATCTGCTCCTCTACCATTTTTTTTTCCCTCTCAACTAAATACAGAGGGCAAATGTCTGGGAGGCTCCCTTGATTTCTGCCTTTCTGGGGGATGCATGGTGCATGGAGTGTATAATTTCTGTGCTGGCTGAGGTTTCCACTTCATTGGCATGTCCCCACATAAGTTATGTGAGTGTCCAGGACATTTAGAACAAGAGTCTCCAAGGGTGGCTGTTCCTCCCAGCTGTTTATGAGTGTGCAGGTCTGCCTGTATGGATTTGGCCCGTGGCCTACTGTTTGTGGACCTGTGTGGCAGGAAACACAGGCACGTTTCCCCACACACACACAGGTAATCAAGTGTCCCCAAGCAGGTCTTGTTATGGGGTAAAGTACAGTTATTCTCAGATGATCAACCCCACTCTTCCACATGGAAAAGAGGCTTTCTTCTATGCCTGTCGTGGTGGGCAGGGCAAGGGAAAAAGACTTTTCTAGTATCCCGCCCACCACACTAATCTTCACGGAATCTCTCCCTCCATTCCCAAGAGGTCCACCCTCTAGGGTGCTCTATTTAGCTCCCTTCTGCCTCTTGGGGGTTTCTCTGGTACTGACCTATGAGGATGGCGGGTGAATCTGAGAATCTTCCCTGAGTCCCTCTACAGGCAGGTTAGCTGGAACTCCCATCCAGAGAACAGTTAGTCTGCTGTTGGGGGGTGGGTGTAAGAAGAGAGGCATAGGGCTCCCCTTTTCCCTCCCCTTCCTGAATTCTGGGGCTTATGAAATAAGCCCTCTCTGGGCATTCTTGGCCTCCCAGGACAGCTCTGCCTTTGGTGAACTCAGAGTTGATTCCCAGGGACACGCCCCACCAAAGCAAGTGTGGCCCTCCTGTGCACAGCTCAACCTTCTCAGCGGGCATAGGCACTTCAGCAATCCCTTTTGGGGCTGACCCCAACCTGTCACAGGTCTGTGCGACCCATGGTGTGTTCTCTCCCCCACCCCTNCTTTTGGGGCTGACCCCAACCTGTCACAGGTCTGTGCGACCCATGGTGTGTTCTCTCCCCCCCCCCTCTCTCTCTCTCTCTCTCTCTCTCTCTCTCTCTCTCTCTCTCTCTCTCTCACACACACACACACACACACACACACACACACACTCCCCTTGCTTTGATATCCTATGGAAGGAGATGCTGGGGAATTCTCGTGGAAGATCAGGTCACAGTCACCACCCCGCCCCAACCTCACCAGACCAAACGTGTCTGCCCCTGGCGCGGGTGGGAGGTAGAAAGGTGCAGGATCAGCCCTCGCAGAAGCTAGGGCTTCTCACAGCCGCGCCTCCAAGGGCTGGCAGCGCCCTGGGCGACCCAGGGACAGCCGAGGACCCTCAGCGTTCCCGCAGGGCCTCCCAGGGCACCTGCCCAAGGCCACCCAGAGCGCGGCGGCCGCGGCGGGGCGGAGCGGAGCTGGACCTCCCAGCGGTCGGTGGGGGCGGTGACCGCCCGGGGCCTTCCCACGGCTCGGTGGCGCGTCACCGCGGGGGCGAGGGGGCGCCGAGGCGCCGGGGGCTGTGGTGCAGGAAAGGGCCCTGGGAAAGGGCGGTGTTGGCGCYCCGGGGCGGGGCCGGGGCGGGCCGGGGCGGGGCCCGACGGCGGATTCGGAGCCGGAGCGTGGGCCGGAGCCCCTGGCAGCCTGCGCTCGCCATGAAGCGGCCCAGGGAGCCGAGCGGCTCCGACTGCGAGTCCGACGGACCCATCGACGTGGGCCGCGAAGGCGATCTGAGGTAAGGATCAGGATGGGGGACCTAAGGACGAGCAAGAGCGCCCCGCCGGGCTTGCTGAGCATGGCCTCTGTCCTTGGTTACCCCTTGGCCCGAGATGCAGGTGTGCGCGACAGCCCGCAGGCGTGAGCCAGGTGAGGGGGCGTGTGCCATTGATTGCACCAGAGCCTGGTACTCCTGGGTGCTCTCGGCCACTTATGGGTTCAGGATGCTGGGATGGAGGTAGAATCCAGCTCAGGGGCTCGATGGCCAGCTGGTAGTGGTCTTTCTGTTGAAAGGCCCCATGGTAGGTCACCAGTTCAGAGTTTTCCTGAAGACCTTAAGAAACCCCCACAGACTATCGATACCACGCTCCCTGTCCAGAATGTGCTTACGTGCAGAATGATCACACTTCCCCAATCTTACCCTAGATTGGGYGCAGTTTCGTGTAGTTCACAAAAAGTTTCAGGGGGAAGAAAATATCTCCTCCTTTGAGCAAATCGGACTTTGGAATTAGGGATTGGATTTTGAAGAAAGTAATAGCCAACTTGCAAAGACCTAGACTCCAATTTCAGAGCTCTTTCTACCAAACCACTCTGTTGCCAAAATCATTGTTCTCTTGATGAATATTCCGATTTGCTTCAAACCTATAGAATAAACTGTACTTACATAGTTCTGCAACTCCCAGCTCTGTGAATTATCTAAGCTTCAGTTTCCTCATCTGTAAAATGGGAAAAAAAATACATATATATATATATATATATAATACACATACACACACACATATATATATATATATAAAATACACATATATATATACATATGCATATATATATATAATAATAAAACCAACTTCATAAGAGTATTGGGAAAATCAAATGAGAAAATGTATGTCACGGGCTTAGTAGAGGGCCTAATGCTTAGTAGAGGGCCTAATGTCCCTGGGTCACCAAATGCTTAGTGTCAGACACACACCCTGAAAGAACTGCAGGACTGACTGGGAATCTGCCAGCCTGGATCCCAGTCCCACATCTGCCACCAACTCACCATGTAGTCTTCTTTCTTTCTCCCCCTCCACCCCTATCCCTCACTCCCAACAGCCCCCCACTCTAGTGCTGGGAATTGAACTCAGGGCCCTACACATGCTAAGCAAGTGCTCTACCACCATGTATCCTTGAGCCATCGGTTTCCCTGTCTGAGCCTGTTTCCTCTCAGTAAAATAAAGGAGGAGGGGAGTGGGAAAGGGAAAACAACCTCAGGTCTCTTAGCTCATCCAAACCTGACTCTCTAGAACAGAAGGAGAGTCAGTTCGTTCTAGGGGTATTTCTAAAGGCATTTCATAAGTTCAAAGCTCTCTAGCTTTCTGAAGCCAGGAGAGCCTGCCTCAATCACAGATCCTGGCTGGGGGTATAGCTCAGTGGTATAGTGCTTGCCAAGCATGTGAAGGACCCTGKATTGGAGACCTAGTACCCTCTTAACACACACATTCTAGTGAAACGCCACCAACTACTAATTATTTATAGCTTATAATAGGCAATAGGACTTTAGATATCCCTCTTACATCTTGTGTTTGGTTTAGATTTTGTATCATATAATTTCCTATGTAAAATATTAGCCTTCCCCTCCGCCCCCGCCACCAGTGCTGGGGATTGAACCAAGGGCTGGTACATGCTAAGCAGGTGCTCTACCACTGAGCTACATTCCCAGCCCTTTTTATTTTTTATTTTGAAGGAAGGTCTCACTAGGTGGCTGAGGCTGGCCATCAAACTTGTGATCCTCCTCCTGAATCCTCCTGAGTTGCTGGGATTACAGGAGTATACCACCACACCGAGCTTAACATAGTAGCCTTTTCAAATTGCTTAGCAGAAATTGCTGTTTAGAGAAACAATTCTCTGAGCCTGTCCTACCAGCAGGAGAAKGGCCCAACACCAGGTGGTGGTGGTGGAGGGGTCTCAGATTCAGTGTCATTGGGTCTTCATGGGTCAGAGGCACAAAACTGATAACAGAGATCTAGGTTTATCAGAGCTGGCTTCTGTTCTCCATGAGTGTGCAGCCTGGGCAGTGACTGCCACGTCACACAAAGACTGTGAACAGAATGAAAAGAGAGAGGGATTCCTATATGGGGAGGGGTCACTCACAACCAAAGATGGCAGTGAGGGCTTCTTGAAGGTAGTGTATTGGAGCTAAGGCATAAAGGGTCAGTACAGTTTTTTTTCCTCCACAGCATTTTGTCATTTCAGCCAAACCCCAATTTTAGAGCCTGTTCTTAGAAGAGCAGACCCCTCCGAGGAGGGAAGCAGCTGGACATCTGGCAGAAACTGACTTATAGATGCCTCATTGTAGCACTCCCCAGAAGGCCCTCCCCCCAGCAGACATAAATGCTTCAATTCAGGGACTGTTGAACGATGCCTGCTGTGGCCCAGACCCTGGGCTGGGCATCGGGGTCCAGATGTATCCTGCTCAGGCTATGCCCTCAGGGAACTCTCAGGGAAGAAGAGCTTTATGTACAAAGAAAGCCAGATAAACAGTGACAAGGGCCACAGGGCTGGGGCAGCCAGCCTGCCAGGGTCAGTGGCAGGGCACAAATCCCCCACACTCTGAGATATGAGAGGGAAAAATAGGGTGTGTTCCATTGTTGCTGGGGTATCTGCCCCATCCTTGGGAATCACCCACCAAACTTCTGGCTGAACCTGGCTCCCGGACATATTCTAGATCTAAAGTGTATACAGCCTCTCCCCTACCCTTCTGCAAACATGTAATAAGCCCCCGTCACATGTCAGGCTCTGTGGGTTGTTCCCACGTGATTTAAGGACTGGTGGCCTTTGAAGTTAGATAAGCCTGAGTTTGACTCTCCTTACCATTTACTTGTGCAAGTGACTCTACCCTTTCTGAACCTCAGTTTTCTCTCTCTCAAAACAGGGTGCCAATACTGCTTCACAGGTTGAAGCTTTGATGAGGTTGTTTGTATGTAAAGCACACAGCTTCTTGCTTAGGCACAACAAGGTAACTTCCAGTAAATGCTGCTCTCTAAGGGGTCACAATGGGGTGGGCGCATGCTCATGAAGCAGCATGCTCTAATGGAAAGCCTGGAAGTACTGAGTCTGTGTCTGTCACCCCACTTACGAAATGATCACTTCTTCTAAAAGTGAAACGGCCCAAATAATAATGAACTCAGAGGGCTTTTATGCAACAAATGAGACAGACAAACATAGAAGTGATATCTAGAACAAAAAGTACTGGTTATGATGGGATGATGAATATTTGGGGTATATTAGCAAGAGCACTGGATTAAAAACAGTAGAGCTGGCTCTAGTTCTGGATTTTCCTCTCATTTGCTATGTAACTTGGGAAAGATCCTTTCCCATCTCTAAGTTTTTTCATTTTACAAATGGGCTCAGTACTTTCCAAAATTCACTTTTGAGAACGTTGAGATTCTCCTTTGGTTGACGCAAAATGAGTGGGGTTATCTGCAAGGATTCTGCTGGGAATCAGTGCTGAGAGTGGTCAGGACTGGCAATTGGACCACCTGGAAAGCTGACCCTGCCTCCAGAGACACTGCAGTGGAATTCTGGCTGCGGCCTCCTAGAGGGCCATGGAGCAGATCTTGATGGTCATCATATCCTCTCTGGGTTCATGAAAATCWTTTTTATTTTCAGACTCTCAGGGGAGAGGCTGCCACCCCTCCTCCCACTGTCAGGGCAAGATCACAGGCTGGAATGAGCATTGGCTGGGAGTTTGAAGGATAAGGGGACTGGAGGACTATTCAGACAGACAGGATGTAGGGCTTAGGAGAGAAACAATGCTGAATTGGGAGCCAGAAGACATGGATTCCCATGCTGGCTTTGCTCCTTAGCAGCTGTGTGGGCTGGGCAAGCTGTTTTAGCTCCCTGAGGTCCAGCATCCTCATCTGTGAAATGGCACTTTCCTAAGGATCAAAGGAGAGAAATACATGTAGTAGCATCAGTAAAACTGTATAGCAAGGTTTGCTTTTGAGATATAGGGAAAGGGCAGGTCATGCTGCAGAGAAAAACTGACCAGAAGACTGGAAAAAGGGACAGCGGACCTGCCTTGCCCTGGAATGGGTGCGTCAGCCTCTGACAGATGGTCCCTGAGGAGGGATCAGGCTGAGAGGCAGTGACGTGCATAAGACTAACCCAATACCCCCAGAGATGCTTTATCCAGCAAAGGGGAACAAAGGCTGTGTTTCTTAGTGTACCTTGGCTCTTGGGGCTTGTCCCCAGTGAACCAGAGAAGCTTTGAAAACAAGTTGCCCTACAGACCTACAGATCTCAGGATCTAGCCATCTGAGCCTTGGACCTAGCTCAGTGGGCCCTGCCTCCCAGGAGCCTCCCCAGGCCTCTTACCAGTTCTGCTTGGCCAGATGTTTGGGTGGGAGATATACTTTTCCAGATGTGGCCRAACAAAGCCAGGGCATAGCAGTAGGATCTGACCAATGCTATCTAGTTTCTCTTACAGTCTTCTGTCTTTGAGGTGTTGATGAAAATGATCGAATCTCAAATCCCAAGAGTATAGTCACATAGGTGGAACTCTTCTGGTGAGCCACATATGCTAGCATTCCACAAAAGTCTAAAACATAGATTTTTATGCATATCTCTGTTCTTCAGTGATGCAAAGATGAGAAGAAGCTCTACCATGAGCTCTGCAGAGTTCCAACCACTTGCCAAGAACTCAAGCTACAATAGTGAATGAAACTGACATGGTCTGTTGCCTTGTGGAGCTTATGTTTTTGCTGGAGAGAGAAACATTAATCAAATAACCATATAGATATAAAACAACAAAGTGGTATAAATGCTGTGAATTCAGGAAGCTGGGAGAGTATAGAGCAGGGACATCTAGCAGGAGAGTAGATGTCAGAAAAGGCYCTTAAGAGAGGTGATGTTTGAAATATAAAAGATGGTTGAAGTTACTAGGCAAAGGGGTTGCAGCTTAGGGTGGGGAGACTGGGTGGACTGGAGATTTCTAGACTAGGGGAAYAACTGCAGAAAGGAGTTAGTACATTCGCAGACTGGAGCATGTACACAGAGCAAGAGTTAGTTGGGTCTAAGAGGTGAGGAGGGTCAGCTGGGCCACCTGAAGAGTGACAAGATCAAATTTGCATTTAAATGATCACTCTGCCAGAAGTGTGGGTTAAAGAGTGACTCAACAGGAGGCTCTTAGAGTCCTCCWGTGAGAAATGATAGGGGTGTGGTCCTGAGAGGAGCCATCCAGATAAAGAGGACAGACATGAGATGTATTTTAGACATAGAWTGGGCAGGTCTTGGTGAGATAGGGGTGAGGATGGGGGAAGAATCAAAGACAATACCAGGTGTCTGCCTGCAGACCTCAAAGCTGTATGCTTTCTGGGAGATGGGAAACCCAGGGGGTCAAGGAGCAGGTGTAAGGTGAAGTCGAGCTCGTGGGTTCCTGTTAAGTTGTGTGACCTTTGGCATCCCCAAACGGCAGGGGATTGTCTAAAGTTGTTTGTGGAGCTGAGCACCTGGAGGGCTGAGGCCAGCTCAGGAATCCAGCCCAGACCTTGGGCCCTAATAGGGCCTCCCAAGAATAGAGACCTCAGTGCCTCCCAGAGAACCTCTCCATTCTCAGAGAGCCTCTGGAGAGAAACCTGTTGAGAAGACAGCTGCTGGGTTGGAGATTATTTTGGTAAAAGTCTGGGCAGGAAACCCCCTGGGTCTGAGCCTCTTCTCTATAGTGGGAAATCCCGGGATGGGAACAAACATCCATCAACAAACATCCAATCCAGCYAGGGCGGCAAAAGAAGGTCCCAGGTGGGAGGGAGCCGAGGTTAAGGGGGACAGAGCCTTCTGGGAGGCCCAGAACAGTGTCCCGGAGCAGGCAAGAGGGGCCTGTGACCCAGATGCCGCCTCCCCCTTTCCCCCCAACCCCCGGCCGCGCCGCGTGGGAGGCGACAGCAGCTGCGGGCCAGGCAGAGGGCGGGCGGCCGGCGCGCCGGCCCGTGGGAAGCGGCGGCATCTGCTCTTTCCACGCTCCTTCCCGGCGGCTCCCTCTGAAACCCAACCCGCCCGGCCCCGGCCCCAGCCCGGCCACTGCCGGCCCGTGCCCTCCGCCGGCCCGCCCCCGGGATCGGGTTGCAGGACCCAGCAGCCACGCCACAGTTCGCGGTTCCCCGACGGCCGCAAGAGAAGAGGGACCAGGGGCGACCAGGTCGGGGTCCAGATAAGTCTGAGCGGCCGCCGCGAGGCTCGGAGGCAGGAAGCTCAGAGTTCTTGGGAGGACTTGGCCGGCGGAGAAATGGGCCCTGAGGGAAAAAGGGGGAGCCGACGCCCCCTCCCACGCCTGCCCTGCGGCTCTTCCCGGCCTGGGAGCCGGTGGCCGCGTGGGTGGGGGCTGTGCCTGAAAATGGCCCTGCCTCCCAGGTCAGCCCAGGCCAGGAAGATGGTCCCCGAGCTCTGAGAAACCAGCCTTTCTCTTCCTCCTCAGCCAGATGGCCAGACCGCTGTCCTCTCCCAGCCCTTCGCAGATGCAAGCCAGGAAGAAACGCAGAGGGGTGAGTGCCTTTCTCAGCCGTGGAGTGGCCCAGTCAAGGTTGATCCAGAATCTGTTGGTCCATAAACCTGTTCGGAAACATCACCCCAAGATAACTGCCTGGGTTTGAATCCTGACGCTGCCAGTAACTATTCGGGACATTTGGGGCAAGTCACTTACTTTCTCTGTGCCTCATTTTTTCATTGGTATAACCGAAATAAAGGCAATACCTGCCTCCAAAGAACTGGCTTGAAGGTGAAGTGTATTAATGCAGTGCTCTCTGGAGCAATGCAGAGCAATACCCAACACACAATCAGCTGTTCYTATTTTTGTTCCTCCACCCTATCTCGGTCCCTTTTTGGACCCTGAAGCTTCCCATTCTTTTCAGTGCTGAGGAGGGAAAGCAGTTTCCTGCTTACTGGGAATCTGGAGGCTGGCTGCTTGCTGCTGTCCATCGTATTCAGTCCCCCATCCCAGGATGCAGCTGTGCTTTGCATGCTGGATCCAGAGACCTGGCGTCTGGCAGAGACCAGCTGTGCCTCTCACTTCTACCTTCAGCTCATACCATGTATATATATATATATATATATATATATATATATATATATATATATGAGGGTGGGAGGGCATCACAATTTCTGCCTACTATGAGTACTCTGCAACTAGGATTTTTTTTTTTTTTGGTACTGGGAATTGAACCAAGGGCCACTTAACCTCTGAGCCACATCCCCAGCCCTTTTTATATTTTATTTTGAGACAGGGTCTTGCTCAGGGTTCTGCTGAGCCTCCTGAGCCACTGGGATTACAGATGGGCACCACCACGCCTGGCCTGCTACCAGGATTGTGAGGGAGGAGATAGTGTGAATGAGCCCTTTACAGTTGGAGAGAACAATACCTAGGGCTCTTCAGACTGCCTCTGACCCAGCAACTGAAGGGGTAACCCTGACCCAACAGGGGCCCCCCGGGCCGGCTTCAATGTTGTGGCTGGTGTTCCTATTTTGTTGGTGTCCTGCAGTACCAGTGACTGAACATTTTGCATATCACTCCTACAGACCAACGTAAGAGATCTGAGCTGCACTGTATTGCTCTGTGACCTTAAGCAAATTATAGTTCCTCTATGAGCCTTGGTTTCCTTCTCCATARAGCAAGAATAATTTTACTTCTGCCAGATGCCTCAGCACATSCCTGAAATCCCAGCTACTCAGTAGGCTGAGGTAATAGGAGCTCAAGTTCAAGGTCAGCCTGGTCAATGTAGCAAGACCCTGTCTCAAAATAAAAATCCTTTAAATGACTGGGGTTGTAGATCAGTGGTTGAGCACTTGCTTTGCATGTGACAGCCCCTGAGTTCAATTCCCAGCACTGAAAAAAAAAAAAAAAAAAAAAAAGGTAAAACATTAACTTGCTCACAACAATATTGTGAGAAAAGATATAAATCAGCATTTATCAAGGTACATTGGAAACCATGACAAGTGCCTACATCTTGTCATTGCTTTTCAGATCATAGAGAAACGGCGTCGAGATCGTATAAACAGCAGCCTTTCTGAATTGCGGCGCTTAGTCCCCACTGCCTTTGAGAAACAGGTATGTGACATTGTCGATTGTGCCACTGGAAATACTGGGTGGATGGCAGATAGGGTTTGTTTCCCATGGTATCTCTTTTTGAAGTGTAGCAGCTGCCTGAGGTGCTGTGATCATGTCTGAATATCTGTCACCAGCTAAGGGACAAAGGGATGAAAATTCATACTTGGTAAGGTGCCTCAGGTATTGTGGCTTTACGTCCATTTGAATGGAATCCTAAAAATGATCCTGAAGGGTAACAATTGTTCTGCCCATTGCACAAGTAAGGAAATTGAAGCAGAGAAAGAAGTAACTTGGACTAGATCACCCAGATAGCAMGCAGCAGAGTAGAGTTGGAGCACAGGACTATGTGACTGTCTCCTGACATTTCCAGAGCTGTTTGAAAGTGGAGCAGGCTGCTCAGGGGTGAATGCCATATCACGAACATGTTTCGGTGGGGGGGACTACAGTGAGGAGTCAGGCAGTTGAAGCAACAGCTTCAAAGATTCTTTCCCTAGGCTCAAAGGCACCTGTCGCAGGTCATCTGCCTTCCTTTAGTCATTCCACATATGTTCACTGAAACCTTTACAGGACCAGCCATGAACTAGACCTGGTGTCTGCCCTCAGATGTCGTGTAGAGTGTCTGACCCTGAGGTTTCTCTGAGAGGCCAGATGGTCTGTGAGCTTAGAAGACATTTCCCAAGAAAGAACAGGGGAAGAGCAAGTGCTCTGGGGCTAAGATGATGAGCTAGGGCTTGAGCACGCTGAGGCTGATCTTGTATTCCCAGGAGCGCTGCTCTGGGAGGCAGGTTGGGATGTYGGAGTGGCATTCTGGTGAGGGATGAATCCACAGAGGTGGATGAGATCCTGGAGGAGAGCAGGCAGAGCTGGAAGAGAAGTAGGCCAGTGCCCACTGGTGGAAGCCCATTTAAGGGACAGGCAGAGCAAGAGGCAAAGTGAAAGGAGAAAGCAGAAGTGGTGTTGCTGCAGTCCAGGGAGAAGAGGTTTCAGAAAGGAAGCTGAGCGGTGCTGCAGACAGGAAGACTGAGGTGAGAAATAAAGAGCATCTGTGAGATTGGAGATCTTGGCCAAAGCAGGATCCTAAATKCGAGCGGTGGGAAAACCAGGAAGAGTTGAGAAAATCAAGACATGATAATGGGCAGAGGAGGAGAGCGACAGAAGTCAGCTGGAGCCGTATCTCCCTGCCTTCTGTACCTACAGGGTTCTTCCAAGCTGGAGAAAGCTGAGGTCTTGCAGATGACCGTGGATCACTTGAAAATGCTCCATGCCACTGGTGGGACAGGTACCAATGCTCTTCTCTTTTGGGAATCATTTGCASGACAAATATTTTCAGGCTGGGCCATGGGGATATGCAATGAGCCAAGTAGACAGGGTCTCTGCCCCCCTGGAGCTCACAGTCTCCAGAGGGGCTAAAGCAAACCTAGTTGAATATTCACCAAATTTGTCTCTTAACATCTGCCTCCCCACTTCCGGTGTCCGTTTTTCCCAACCCTTTCCTCAGCTCAGCTCTTTTCAGTCTTAGACCTTGGAGGATCTGTCTTCTGTGTAAAAAACTATTCCCCTGTGGTAAGTGGAACAAACTTACCCCCAGGGCCTCACTAAGGAGTAGCCTCAGGGAGTTAATTCTTACTGGGGTCTCACACTCTGTGACCCTCGTAAACCCTGAGAGGGACCTGCCTGAAATTCTTAGCCACAGGGGATTCATTGGTGTCTCTTCCCGTAGGTCTAGACTTCTGGCCTGCTGTTATGTCCTGGGCAGTGTTGTGGGGATACTCCCTGATCACAGCAGGTGTCAGCATTGTAGTAGAACATAAATGTCACTCATTTGGTTATTCTAAACTAGTCCACCACAAAAAAATCATGGAATTGTGGCTTTAAAAAGGCTTGCAGACAAAAAAGAAATATGTTCCGAAGTTTCTCTGTTTGGTGTTTTTACATTTGGGAAACTTGAAAAACATTGGCCACAAAGACTTAAGTCCCAAAGGTAACCTGCTACCCTGGAAGAGGACAGGGACAGTGGCTGCTGCTGCTTCTTCTTTTATTTATATTTATTTATTCGTTGTGTGTGTGAGTGTGTGTGTGTGTGTATGTGTGTGTGTGTAGTACAGGGGATTGAACCCAGGGGTTCTCTGCCATTGAGCCACATCCCCATTCCTTTTTATTTTACTTTGAGACAGGGTCTCTCCAAGTTGCTGAGGCTGGCCTCACACTTGTGAATCTCCTGCCCCAGTCTCCCAAGTTGTTGGGATTATAAGCATGTGCCACTGCACCAACCAACAGTTGCATTTTGAGTAGCCCAACCTGGAGCTTCCCACACCTGGGATTCCTGGGCCACCTTACTGAGATTCTGGGGCAGTAGATCTGGAGTGGAGTTTAGGGATTTGTAAGTTTAACAAGCCTGCCCAGTAAACCTAATGCAGGTGATCCTTGCTTTTGAGAACTTCTGTTAAAGGAATGTATTGCTAACAGTGGAGATTTCTGTTACTAAGTTTTCAGTAGGGGAGATGTTTCAAATTACAACTCCTGTTATCCTGGTTTTTTTTTTTTAAAAAAAGTTATGACTAATATGTGGGCAGCATTCAATGGCTTTCAAAATGCTTTTGCTTTTCACGAAAACCAGGAGARTGGGATTGTCCTCACTACTTTCTGGCTCAGGAATAATGGAAAAACAGGGAATTGTGGTTTAGAGAGAACACAGGCTTTGGATTTGAATCCTGGCTCTTCTACTTACTAGCTTTATGACCTCATAAAATGATTTAACCTCTCTCTTCCTCAGTTTCCTCATCTCCAAAATGAAGATAACAATAGAGTTTATGAGGATTATATTAAATAATACRATGAAGTACTTAGTAAGAATTCAGCGGATATTAATTTTAAAAGAGCAACAAACACATCAAGGTGAAGCCAGGTGTGGTGACACACACCTRTAATCCCAGCTACTCGGGAGTTGAGGCAGGTGGATCATAAGTTYGAGACCAGCCTGGGCAATTTAGTGAGATCCTGTCTCACTAAACATTTTTAAAAGGGGTAGGGTTGTAGCTCACTGGTAAAGCATTTCTCTAGCATGTGCAAGAAGACCCTGGGTTCAATCTCCAGTGCTGCAGATACAAAACAAAACACTCAGGTAAAGGGATTTGTGAGTTACATAGCTAAATATCCAGCAGAGCCAGGTCTTATCTGAAAGTTGGCCTCACACCAAACACAGTCTTCCTGCCAAGCCGTCCTTCTGGAGGAGCCTAAACCATGAACTAGGGCCCAGATATTTGCTGCCAGTCATGAGGACAGTGCCGGCCAGAGCTGTTCTGTCTTTGCCCATAAGTGATGGAGAGAGTGGCAGGTGTGAAGAGACARTGAGGGTTTGAATGCCTGCAGGGACAGTCCACCTGGTTGACCCTCATTGACATCAGGCCAAAGAGAGGGCCCCTGGCCTGCTGCAGCTACTGAGTCAGGATCAGATCTTGAGTGCTGGACCACCTTTTGAGCTGGGGGACAAACAAATGCAGCATGAAATATAAGTGATAGCAAACTTTTTGTTTATGGAGCATTTTCTGTGAAYCATTTCACTTCACTTTCAAGAACAATTGTCTGCCCACTTAGAGCTAAGGAGATTGAGGCCAGGAGAGATGAGACTTGCCCAGTAGGCAGCCAGCTAAGTAGCGGAGTCTGGATCTGAACCCAGCTAGCCTGGCTTCCAAAGACTTCATGCTTCACTGCTACACTCTGTTGCCTCCTCCAAGGGGCTGCCAAGCTCTGATGGCTGCTGTCACCTCCTCCCCTCCCTGAATCTACCCCCATTAGCAGACAGGTTAWTGTATACCTGTACAGGCACAGTCTTCTTAACTAAGTAAACTTGGTCACAGAGTTTCTTTTTTGCATTACYTATGAATTATGGTGAAAGCAATCTATTTAGTAATGTTGCATAGTTTACTGAATTCTTTTGATCCTCACAACTCACCATCCCAAGTAAAGTTTTTTTGTTTTTTTTTTGTTTTTTTGTGTGTGTGAGTGTGGCGGGGAGAGAATACCAGGGATTGAACCCAGGGGCACTCAACCACTGRGTCACATCCCCAGCTAAGTAGTATTTTGAATTTTATTTAGAGACAGGGTCTYTCACTGAGTTGCTTAGCAGCTCGTTTTTTGCTGAGGCTGGCTTTGAACTTGAGATCCTCCTGCCTCAGCCTCCTGAGCCTCTGGGATTACAGGCGTGCACCACTGCTCCCGACTCCAAGTAGAGGTTTTTATTCCCACTTTACCAACGGGGAGATGGGGGCTCAGAGAGGTGAGAGGACATGCCCAAGGTCACCCAGGGAGTGAATGGAAGGGGCATGTTCAGAACACCRTCTGACCCTGGGTTCCCTGTCCCCCCACCCCAGCATGCCCTCATGGTGCCTCACTTTTCAGGATTCTTTGATGCCCGAGCCCTGGCAGTTGACTTCAGGAGCATTGGTTTTCGGGAGTGCCTCACTGAGGTCATCAGGTACCTGGGGGTCCTGGAAGGGCCCAGCAGCCGAGCAGACCCTGTCCGGATTCGCCTTCTCTCCCACCTCAACAGCTATGCGGCTGAGATGGAGCCTTCGCCCTCRCCTGCTGGCCCCCTGGCTTTCCCTGCTTGGCCCTGGTCTTTCTTCCATAGTTGTCCAGGGCTGCCAGCCCTGAGCAACCAGCTCGCCATCCTGGGAAGTGTGCCTGGCCCTGTCCTCCCCAGCACCTCCTCTCCTGCTTACCCCATCCCAGCCCTCCGAACCGCACCCATTCGCAGGGCYACTGGTACCATCCTGCCGGCACGGAGGAATTTATTGCCCAGTCGAGGGGCATCTTCCACCCAGAGGGCCCGCCCYCCAGAGAGGCCAGCTGCCCCTCTTCCCATGGCCTCCAGCAGCAGGGCTGCCAGGAGCAGCCACACCGTTCCCCTCCTGCAGTCCTCCTCCCCAAGACCCCCTAGTGCTGTGGGCTCTGCAGCTTATGTGGCTGTGCCAGTCTCCAGTCCATCTCCCACRGGGCCAGCTGGGAGGCCTGCAGGTGCTGTGCTCTACCACTCCTGGGTCTCTGAAATCACTGAAATCGGAGCTTTCTGAGCTTACTCCCCCACCCCCAGGTTCCCAGGATCATAAGAAAGGTTCTTATTTCAGAAGCTCTAAAAATGATGCAGCCTCTTCTGCTTTGCTTCCCGGATGGGCTTCTATGTGAAAGCACCTTCCTCACCCATCAGAAGCTCTCTCCTCCTCACCGCTCAGCCCAGCCTGTCCACTCGGCTCCCATGGACCCCTTCTGATCTCAGAGGCTCCGTCCCGTTTCTCACCTGCACAGATGAGTCATAGTGCCTCATGAGACCCTAAGAGCTGTGCCCAGCCCCCTCTCCTGCCCAGWATTCATGAACCATGGGTCTGGGGTGGAAGCTTGAACCGTGAAGCTTGCCATGGTCCAAGGCTCGCTGCCTCTATGGAGAGGTCAGACCCTAGTCAGGAACAATGACTGGCTGTAACCATCCTAGGCCAAGGAACTGGAACATACTGTCTGTCTCATTTCCTGGAGATGGTAACTGAGCAGAGGCCACTAAGAGGTCTCTTGGGCACCCTGTCTGCCCCTGCCTACCCCATCACAGTGAACCACAGGACAAACCCATTCTCTATTACAACCAAGCCTGGACGACGGAAGCCCAGCAGGTCCTGCTCTACTTCCCTCCAGCTGCAGACACCCACCATCCTTGAGACTAAGAGTTCCCTGCTCACATCTGGCTCAAAAAGCCAGGCCAGGGGGCTTCTGAGCAGTGGCAAAGCTCTGTGACAGGGTGTCCTCACTGCCAGGCAGGAGTCAGGATTGAGGAACAGAGAACCCAGCTYCTGGGTGTGTGGTCTTTCCCCATGGGGACACAGTGTGGCGGGACCACGTGATGGCACCCAGAGAGGCATCCTCTTGGGATTCAGCACCAGACGTCTGAGCCGCCTGGTTTGCATCCGGCTCAGAGAGCCCAGACTGCCGCCACAGCCAAGGGCTGTCAGACTGAACAAAAATAACCGTGAGGAGGGGCAGAAGGAAGAACATTCAGAGGCATCTGGGCCCTTCAAGGTCACGCAGGGGGTCRAGGGCCTGAGAGCCTGTTCACCCAGATTCCACACAGCTGGCTCTGCTTAGAGGCAGCTCCCATTCCCCAGCTCTGCCCTGGGCCATTTTCCTCTAACAGAAGGAATACATGGCCCAGMGACCCTTCCCAGAGGAACAGCAGACTGAACCTGCTTTCAGGATTGCCATATCARTTGATAAAGTGCAGAAACACTTCTGAACTTGTTGGTAAACACCTGCTTCCCAYGAGTGCCTCCCAGTGCCCCCCACCACCTGGCATTTCCCCAGGACCACCATGATCTGGTGAATGCCTGACAGACCCAAGACTGTGGGGTCCTGGAGCTGGCAATKCACTGGTGCGCATGTCATACTGGTTATTAAATATTTTGATGTCCCCTGCACCCCGGGGTAAGATTCTCTCACTCCCAGCCTTTGATGGAACCACCTTCCCCAGAGGCTGCATTGAGCAGACTCCATCAATAGAGTTTTCAGAAACCATGGGGCAAAGGGCCCTTTCAGAGCAGTGGGGCAGAGATCAATTTGAGTGACCAGAAAGCTCTTTTGAAAAGAGAAATTCCTCAAGGAGGGAGAAAGAGGTAAGTTCTTCTTTTACCGCTAAGCAGAGCTAGTTTGATGAAGTCGCCGTCCTGTGGCAATCATTGAGAAGTGCTTCAGCCAGGAGGGGTGACATTGCAGAGAGAGGGCCACTGGCAGGGGATGTGCTAGAGGAAGATGGATGGAGGGAAGGCAGGACAGATCCACAGGCTCCCAAAAGTGGGGAGAGGGGAACAGAGAAGGTGACAGAGGCAAAGACCAGACTTAGATTTCTCACAAGGGGCACACTCAGGATGGGAAGGACTCCCCAGCTCCTCCCTCAACACTCCTCTACTTCTCCATCCCCCGCTCCTTGCTCTCCTGCTGCTCCCAGGATGCTAGGGCCATCTTTTAGCATCCAACCCATCATTCACTGCTACCTGGGCTGTAGGAAACACATTTCCATGTTGCAGGTACCCAGCTCCAAACAGTGCATCACCACCACGGAAATTAAGTGGAAATGGCCCGGCACTTTGAGCATCTKGGTTGGCCTTAAGTTCATTCCCCCCAAGAGATTGTGGGAAAGTGGTGGCGTGTTCCCATGGCTGGGGAGTGGGATCTTTTTTTTTTTTCCTATTCCCAAGCTTTCCAGGTGCCCCAACTCCCCCCTCACCCCGCCCCACTGTGGGGGTGTTGTAGACAGCCAAYAGAGTTTTTGAGTTCTTCTAGAAAACTCCAATAGATTCTTAAATGTCTCTGGAGTCTGTCCACTTCTGTCTGGACCTGTTGCCACCACCCTGGCATGGCCACATCACTTCTCCCCCAGATCACTGTCCCAATCCACAAGGTCTCCTCCCTTCCCTCTTACCTTGTCTGACAGTTCTCAACAGCAACCAGAGAGAATCTGAATAYGCAGATCACATTGTATTACCCCTGGTCCAAACTCCTCTTCTGTTACCCTGTTATATTATTTTTCTTGAGGGGTGGGGGTACTGCTAATTGAACCCAGGGTACTCTACCACTGAGCTATATCCCTAGCCTGTATTTTTTTTTTTTTTTTTTTGAGGCAGGGTCTTGCTGAGTTGCTGAGACTGGCTATGTCTGGGTCATTTTTCTTTAGTCCCAAACTTGCTCCTGGATTCTGGCCCAACCTGCCTTCGTTTCCTCAACATARCAATCTCACTCCCATTTCCGGGACTTTGCATATGCTGTTCTCTTTTTCGCAGAATGCTCTTCCCTACCCTTTGAAAGTTCTTCAGACCCTTGTCTTCAATATCACCTCCTCAGAGAGRCCTTCCCTGACTACTGGACTTGAATAGTTAATTGACTATTGTTTACCTTTCTGTGGAGATTGCCATTGTATAATCACATACCTTGTTAGTTAACTGTTGGCTCCACTGGAGTGTAAGCTTCATGACACCAGGGACTGCGTGGTCCGCTCTCCACTCTGTACCCAAGACCCAGCCCTATGCCTGCCTTATTGGTGGTGCCCAGTGAATCTTTGTTGAATAAATGAATTAAGGAGGTGCGAAGCCTGTTCTCATGCTGTGGATGGTACAGGCTGCCCTAGGGGTAACCCCCATCACTGGCTAACTTTGGGGACAGGCAGGAGACAAAGGAAGAGCCAGGGCCAAGGGACTGGAAATTATGGCAAAATGGTCAGGAGGCCCTGGCYAGAGGCGGGCATGAGCATGTCCACTCTGGAGTACACACTGTCAGGCAGGCTGTCCCTTCCAGCAGGTATTGTTCTCCACTCTTGGCTTGACTCCTCGCTGGAGTTGGCTCCCAACAAATCCAACAAACATTCATGGAGGTCTGCTCCATGCCAACCAGGCCTGGCGGAGCCAAAGGTGACAGGGACACAGGTCTGCTCCATGCCAACCAGGCCTGGAGGAGCCAAAGGGGACAGGGACACAGGTCTGCTCCATGCCAACCAGGCCTGGTGGAGCCAAAGGTGACAGGGACACAGGTCTGCTCCATGCTAACCAGGCCTGGCAGAGCCAAAGGGGACAGGGACACTATTGCTCTCGGGTTTGGAGAATAGTGTATTCTCAGGTGTGAGTTGGTGAGGTGGGAGTGGAGAGGCCCGTGGAGTAGGCTGAGAGCCACAGAGTGGCGGTATGTGCCTCTGCCTAGAGAGGTCATGGGGAAGGGGCAAAAGGAAGCCTTCCCAGAGGAGCAGGAAGGGAAGCTTCCCATCAGCAGAGTGACCCCTTAGGTGGAAAGTCAGAGAGGCTCATACAGGGGAGCTGTAGAGCGGCTCGAGGTTGAATGCAGATCCTCAGGGGCAAGCTTGGGCACTGAAGCCTGACTTCCTTATTAGACCCTTATTCATGAGTTGTAGCCTTGGGCAAATTCCTTAACCTCCTTGAACTTCAACTTTCCCATCTGTAAAACAGGGATGATGGGCTAATGGCTACTGTTAGTTGAATGGTAACTTTAATTTTTTTAAATTTGTTTTAATTAGTTATACATGACATTGCAATGATCTTGACATATCATACATTTGAATCAGATGGGGTATAATTTCTCATTTTTCTGAGTGTACAGGTTGCAGAATTACATTGGTCATGCAGTCATGTAAATAGTAACTTTATATTAGACACTGTTCCCGTGCTTTTTTTTAGATTGTCCCCATTTTGAGCAGGGAAGTGCTGGGGAGTGTTATTAGCCAACTTAAGTTGTTATGTTGTATATCGTGTGTATGTATGGATATGTAACAACAAATCACAACAGTGTGTACAAATATAATGCACCAATAAAAATGTGGGGAAAATAAAATATCCCCATTTTACGGGTGAGAAAACTGAGCTGCGGCATGGTGCCTGTGGTTAGGTGTGAATGGAATGAGACAACACATGGTAAGTCCTCGGTGTAGTGCCTGGGTCGTRCAACAATCAATCTACGTCATTAATATCTTTAATAAAAGGATGTTGTGTCCAAATTGTAAACATCCTCAAGTGCTCTGCTGAGTCAGGGAGCAACAGGAGGCACAGAATGTTTTTCCAGGTGTCTGTCAAGATTGGATTTTAAGAAACTTGAGCTCGGTGTGGTAGGACACATCTGTAATCCCACAGAGGCTGAGGCGGGAGGACCACAGTTCAAATTCATCCTGAGCAACTTAGTGAGACYCTGTCTCAAAATAAATTTTGTTTTTTTAAGAGTTGGAATATAGGGGCTGGCGTAGTGGCTCAGCGGTAGAGTGCCCTCCTAGCACGTGYGACGCCCTAGGTTCGATCCTCAGCACCACATGAAAATGAATAGATAAATAAAATAAAAGTATTGTGTCCATCTACAACTAAAAAAATAAACAAATATTAAAAAAAAAAAAAACCCGAGTTGGAATGTAGCTCAATGGTGAAGTGCTTGCCTAGTGTACACAAGGCTCTGGGTTCAATCCACAGTACCAAAATAAAAGAATTTCTTTTCTAATCAAGGTGGATTTCCATTAGATAGGTGAACTGGATTCCGGCTTATGATCCCGAAAAAGGCTTTCTGAGGATCAAAGCAAAAAACAGATTTCCACCAGGGCATCTCTGTCTTTCTAGTCCCTGGCTCATAGTAGATACTTAAGAAATGTTATGTATTGTTAGGGTTTGAATATGGCTGGTCTCCACAAAGGTTGTGATTAAAGGCTTGGTCAGCAGGGAGCTGCTGTTGGGAGGTGCACCCTTAAGAGGTGGGGCTTAGTGGGAAGTCCCAAGGCCTCTGAAGGAGGTGTGCCTTCAGAGGGGATTGTGGGACAACAGTCTCTCTCTCTCAGCAGTGAGAGGTGTGACCACCTGCTCTACACAAGCTCCTGCCATGGTTCGCCATCATCCACGCCCTTACCAGAGGCCAACTCAGTGTGCCTCTGTCCCTGCCTCCCCATGCTTCCTGATCTTGGACCTTGAGCATCCAAAACTGTGAGCCTAATAAAACCTCTTTCTCATGAGTAACCTGTGTCAGATATTTAATTTTAGTGACACAAGACTGATTAATATATGTGTGTTGAAGTCTTTAGTATCTTTTAATTTATTTAGGGAATATTAAATATTTATGGCTTTGTGGAAAACTCAGAATATTAACTTCCTTTTCCAAGAGGAAAAATCAGGACCAAATGTAAGTTGATCACATTAACGACAGTAAACATTTTTGAGTCCTTGATCTACGTYCCCTCATAGAATATTTACATAGCCTTTTAAATACTATTATCCTTTTACACAAGAGGAAACAGACTCAATCTGTTATTAAAAGTATCCAAAGTGCACAAAACTAATAAGCATTTTTAGCCAAAATTCAAACTTGGGCCTGTCCAATTTGGTCTTAACCAATATAGTGCACTGCTTCCTTCTGAGGTTGCCCCTTGGATGACAGTCCAGTGATTCTCTGTGGCAGGTCATCAAGGTCTAGTGGAGAAGACCATTGTGCTAACTTGGGAAGCTTTCATGTCTGCCACACTCTTCTCCCCTGTGTTTAGTAAGGGTTAGGCTTGGCTGCTGTAACAAAAAGGTCCAGYGGAGACTGGCACAGAGGTGCTTGCCTATAATCCCCACAACTCAGGAGGCCAAGGCAGAAAGATCACAAGTTCAAGGCCAGCCTTAGCAACTTATCCAGACCCTGTCTCAAAATATAAAAGGGGCTGAGGATTAACTAAGTGGTAAGCAACCCTGGGTTCAATTCCCAGTACTAGAAAAATCCAAACAAAACAAAGAGGCCTAGTAATAACTCTGTATGAAAGGAAGATAGTTCCTTTGTCTCTCATGTGACTTCCTGGTGACCATTCCACTTAAGAAAGCTCTGCTCTGTGCAGATATCCTAAGATCTAGTTTCCTTCCATCTTGATTCCCTACCATCCCTAGGACATTCTTGTACCTGCATGGTTGAAGTCAGGCCTCCCAGGGTTCAAGCCAGCAGGAAGGGGATAAGAATTTGGTAAAAACATGATCAAAATCTTAAAGCCTAGACCCAGAAGTAAGTACATATACCTCCATTTATATTCCACAGATAAGAACTTAGTCTAAAGGAAACTGGGAACTGCATGTTGACTGTCCTCTGAAATAAGTGTGAAATGATAGTGACAGACAATCTCTTTCATTTCCCTTACCTGGAAGGGTGAGAGGAATGGAGGGAATCAGGGACTTCAGAAGTTTCTGATTGTTCAGAGTGTGTGTGTGTGTGTGTGTGTGTGTGAGAGAGAGAGAGAGAGAGAGACCAATTTCTTTTTTTCTTCTTTAATTTAATTTTTCTTTTGCAGTACTATGGATTGAACTCAGGGTCTCACAGATCCTAGGCAAGTTCTCTACCACTAAGTTACATCTTCATCCTTTTTTAAATTTTATTTTAAATCAGGAGAGTGGGAGGTAGTGCTGTCCCACCTGATCCCTCAAACTCAAGCCACATGCTATCATGTACACTTATAATCCCAGCTATCCAGGAGGCCAAGACAGGAGGATTGCAAGTTCAAGGTCAGCCTGGGCATCTTAGGGAGACCCTGCCCACAAATGCAATTTAAAAGGGCTGGGGATGTAACTCTGAGATAGAGTGCCCCTGGGTTTAATCCCTAGTACTGCAGGGGGGAAAGAGAAGAAAGAAATAAGAAAAAAGGAAAGAAATAAAGGAAGAAAGAGGGAGAGAAAAAAAATAGTAAACCACCTATTGCCTTCAACTCCAGCAGCCCTAAAAGGAATCAGTCAAGAACAAAAAGTACTCATGCTTTCTATTGTATAGCAAAGTACCATTTCAAAGTGCTTTCCCGTGTGTTACCTCACTTATGCCTTTCAACAAATGGGTAAGGGAGCCAGGGCAGAAATTATTATCTCCATTATGCAGATGAGGAAACGGAATCGCATTTCAAACAGAACAATCTGTCCTAGATTGGAAAAATAGTAACATGGCAAAGCTTGTTTGGACTACAGAGGTAATTGATTGATTGCATATCCATAGTCACAGAGAGGTAATGTAACTTTATCCAACAATCACTGAGCACTTGCCACACACAGGCACTGGACCAAGTACTTTGCATGCAAAATCTATCTGCATAACTCTGTGATTTGGGGTTYACTTCCATCATTATCTCCATTTTATGGATGAGGAAACAGAGCTCAGAAAGATTAAGTAGCTTGTCCAAGGTAACACAGCTATTAAGTGGTAGAGCTCTTAACTGCCAAGTTCTACAGCCTACTAAATGCTATGGCTTGTGTTCACCCCTTCGAGACAATGGAGGGAGGATTCCCAGGCCTGCCTACAGCTCTTAGCTTATACCTTGAGACTTTAGCCTCAGACCCCTCAGTATCATCTCACCAACCCTCCAGGATATAGAAGCCACTCATCTGCCTTCACTCAATAACATTTATGAAGAATTGAACATACGCCAGGCGTGGCAGTGCACTCCTGTAATCTAGTGACTCAGGAGGCTGAGGCAGGAGGATCCCAAGTTCCAGGCCAGCATGGGCAACTCAGCAAGATCCACTCACTGCCCTGGTATAAACCTGCCCCTAATAGAAATTCTGATTTCAGCTGCCCTGTTCCCCAGCCAGCCACCACATGCCCTCCCTAAGCTCCCTCTGCTCAGCTGTCCTTCCACTGACCACCGCTGCTCAGCAGCATCTGGTCTCTTCCTGGCTTCACTTCCCTCCTCACCTTGCTAAGGGCACGTGGCCTCAGCTCTGTCATCACCCCTTGCAAACAGCCTCACTCCTTATCCCATCTCCTTCCACTGAAGCCACCAGGTACAGGACAGATTTGAGCATGACCCATATGACCTCCAGTTCCTCATGTGCATGCCCTTGTCTAACTCCTTACCTTCAAATGTGGACAGGACCCACAACTTGCTTCTAACCAACAAAATCTGGCAAGTGTGCGGGATGTCATATGTCATCCTGTGATGCAGCTACACGCATGGCAAAGGTGAGGCCTTATTTAAGGTCCCCTTAGCCAGGTGCAGTGGTGCACGCCTGTAATCTTAGCAGCTCAGGAGGCTGAGGTAGGATTGCATGTTCAAGGCCAGCCTCAGCCACTTAGCAAGACCTTAAGCAACTCAGCAAGACTCTGTTTCAAAATAAAAAATAGMAAGGGCTAGGGATGTGGCTCAGGATTAAGCTCCCCTGGGTTTAATCCCAGGTACCAAAACAAAAACAAAAGCAAAAAACCCTCTTAGGTGAGAGAGAGAGGCTCTCCTTCTCTCCTTGCTGGCTTGATCATGTCAGGGGTGGTGTTGGAGAAGCCCACATGGCAAAGGACCATGGGTGGCCACTCAGGCCCTGGGGGCAGCCTGCAGCTGACAGCCAACAAAAATCTAGGCTTCAAAGCCATGGCCCTGTCATATGGCTCAAGGAAATGAATTCTATCAACAAGCTGAATAAATCTGAAAGTGTCTCCCCCTGCCCACTGTGGAGCTTCCAGTGATTCTGGCCAACACTTGGTTGCAGCCTTGAGAGATTCTGAGCCTGAGGACCAGGCTAAGCAGTGCCACACTCCTTGCCCACAGGAACTGGGCGATAACAATATGCACTTGTGAGAAAGCATGTTG